ATGCTTCTCTTGAGTCTTGTTTTTGAATACTACAATTTTAATACAGCTTTTTTTTTTCCATCAGGAATACTTAAAAGTACTTCATTTCATTACATCTATTTTTTCCTCTGTAGAATCATACTTAGTTTTGTTGGGTAAGTTATTCTTGGTTGTACTCCTAGCTCCTTTACCCCCTAGAATATCATTCCAAGCCCGCCACTCCTTTAATGTGGCAGCTGCCAAATCTTGTGCGATCCTGATTATGGTGCCATGTTATTTGAATTCTTTTTTTTTCTGACTGCTTACAGTATTTTTTCTTTGACCTGGCAACTCTGAAGTTTGACTATAATAATTTGAAAGATTTCGTTTTGGGATTTCTTTTAGGAGGCAACCAATTGATTCTTTTAGTTTCAACTTCACCCTCTAGTTCTATAATATTTGGGCAGTTTTCCTTTATGTGTTCTTGAAATACTATGTCAAGGCTCTTTTTTTTGCTTTGTGACTTTCAGGTAGACCAGTAATTCTTAAATTATCTCTCCTTGATCTATTTTTCTAGGTCAGTTGTTTTTCCTGTGAAATATTTCACATTTTCAGTCTTTTGACTTTGGTTTATTGTTTCTTGATGTCTCATGGGGTCATCAATTTTCATTTGAATACTTCTGATTTTTAAAGAGTTATTTTCTTCAGTGAGGTTTCTTTTTTTAAACCATGTGACCAATTCTGAATTTTAAGGAGTTATTTCCTTCAGTATTTTTGTGCCTTTTTTTTTTACCAAGCTTTTAATTATCTTTTCTTAATTTTCTTTCATACCTCTTATTTCTTTTCCCAATTTTTCCTTTACTGCTCCTATTTGATTTTTGAAATTTTTTTTTGCTGTTTTTAAAATCTTTTTTCAGCTCTTATAGGAATTCTTGATGGCCTTATGTCCAATATGCATTTTTCTTTGAGGCTTTGCTTGTAGATGGAGGTTCATGATTAGAGTCCCTTCACTAACTTTGCTGCCCTAGTGAGGAAATTTTCTAGCTTATATGGTAGGATTAAATCCTTCTAGGTATGGAGTTTTTAACTTTTTTTGCATCATTTACCCTTTTGGTAGTCTGGTGAAATCTCTGGACCCCTCATAATGTTTGTTGCCTACATTTGTAATTGAAGGAAATACTAAATTTTAGTGAAAATAAAGATGTATTTTTTTTCCCTTTTTTAACATCTAGGTTCACAGATCTCTTGTAACCTATCCATGGGCCCCAAGTTGAGAATCTCTGTTCTAGGTCATCCTTTCGATAGTAACATTCATATTATTAACATCTTTTCTAGTGATTTCTTTATTTGTTCTTTTTTTTTTTTTTGGCTAGGCAGTGGGGTTATGTGACTTACCCAAGGTCACACAGCTAGTAAGTGTTATGTGTCTAAGGCTGGATTTGAACTCAGTTCTTCCTGAATCCAGGGCTTGCTGCTTTATCCACTGTGCCACCTAGCTGCCCTCACTTTATTTGTTCTAATGGTAAAAATATTAGATGCAACCACTGGGAAATAGACAGTTTTTTCTAAGGACTCTTAGTGAACGTTCTCAATATGTTATGCCTAGAGCAAGATGAATAACTAAAGGAAAAACCTGTTATGTCAAAACTGTCATATTTTATTGTTTTTTACTTTCACACATTTTCTTGTATTATACTCCTATTTGACCCTACCTAAGCTGTAATCAGGCAAGCTAGGTGTCACAGAGGATAGGAGTGCCGGCCCTGGAGTCAGGAAGACATGAGTTCAAATGTAACTGTGTGACCCTGGGCAAGTCACTTAACTATCTTTGCCTCAGTTTCCTCATCTGTAAAATATGCTAGAGAAGGAAATGGCAAACCACTACAGTATCTTTGCCAAGAAAACTCCAAATGGGGCCATGAAGAGTTGTACACGACTGCAATGACTCAACAACAAGAATAAGCAATAGTCATTAAGTATGTGTAATATTCCTATAACTTTCTGCTACATTTGAGAGGCAGTCTGATCAAGTGAAGAGTGTTGGATTTGGTAGCTGGGGACCTGAATTCAAATCCTGACTACCATTGTACTACTGTTGTGACTTTGGACTATTTAACCTTTCTGGGCCTCTTTTCATTGCCGTTAAAATGAACAGGTTAGATTAGATGATTGATGGTGTCCCTTCCAGTTTTAGACCTATGATCTCATGATCTTACCAAGACTCATACCAAGTGTGAACCTGTCAGTGAGTTTTTTGCATAGGTTACCCCCTGAATATAGCAACTTTTCATTCTTTTTTTTTTTTAATGTCTGGCTTTTACTTATCTCAGTTATCTGCCGGAGTGTGCTCTCATCAGTGTGCTAGTTTTCTTCTACTAGGATTTGGCCTTTCAAAAACATTTGTACTGTACCTGGTTGACCTGATTTTTCAGAAGCTCCTAGATTCTCTGAGTAGCAGAAATTCTACCTAAGAATAGTTGGCTCAGAGGTCTCAAGGAGCTGTTAAGCTCAAAATAAGATCTTAGTCAATTCTGTGTTTCTTAATGAGTTTTCTATGTAGCAATGTAAAATCAGTCTAGGAATTATATTATTTCTGAGCTTGAGCAAGCAAGCTTTTTTAATGTCTGGTAGTTGAACTGAAGGACTTAGATGGAAGCGTTAAAGGGGGCAGCATCTCTGTCACACCCTTGTAACATCTGAATTGTGTTAACTTGGATAAAATAGAAATTTATAAGTGGAAAGGACCCTCAAGTCCATCCTCCACATCAAACAGAATATTTTCATTATGATTATAACTGAGGACAATATGTAAATCTGATTCACGGACACAACTGCAGTGCCTTCACAGAGGTAGGTTAGTCCTCTCAGCCACAGTTAAACCAGTGTTTCCTGGATAGCCTACCAGTGGATTAACAATGCCCCTGTTAATATGGTGCTTTATCTTTTGCTACCCACTTTCTTCATAATCTTATGAGAAAGGACTTATTATTCTTATGCTGCAGATGAAGAAATATGTTCAGAGAAGTTAAATTATGTGTCCAAAGTCACACAAATGGGCAAAGTAGATGAATCTCATCCTTAGCATGAGTAGGTTTTGGTTGGAGGAAAAAAAGCAAGAAAAATAGAGGTCTTAGTTTAAAAGAGTCTAGATTTTATTTTGGGGGTGGACAGATCAATCTTTCCACCATCTACTCTGCTCTTATTTAAGAAATCCTTGAGAAGGAACATTTTAGGTAGAAATCCGACAATGGCTCTGTGTCCTTGACTGCAGTTAATCTCAGCACTTTGGCTTCAGTCAGACTAGATGTTTTATTTCAAGTGATTGACAAAAATAATCAAGACCCACTTCTTTTTTTTTCTTAGTCATATTTTATTTTTCTAATTGCATGTAAAGATAGTTTTCAACATTCAATTTTATAAATTTTGAGTTCCAAATTTTTCTCCATTCCCCCCTCCCCAAGACATCAACATCTAATCTACTTGATATAGGTTATACTTATACAATCATGTTAAACAGATTTCCACATTAGTTATGTTGTGAAAGAAGAATCAGAACAAAGGGAAAAACCATGAGAAAGAAAAAACAAAAAACAAAAAAAGTTAAAGCAGTATGTGCTTTGATCTGCATTTTGGTCTGACTCCACAGTTATTTCTCTGTGTGTGTTTAGTATTTTCCATCTTGAGTCTTTTGGAATTAAGACCCATTTCTTAAAAACATATTGCATTTTATATATGATAAGTCTTCAGGGGTATGTATGGCTTATTAAATTGTATTATTAAATAGAATTATTAAAATGTAAAATATGTAAAATATTTGAGCTAATGTTTTCCTTTAATGGAAAACTAACTTGGGCCTTTGATTTTTATGTTTAGTGTTTGTTTTAAGTTCTCATAAATGGAATGAAAAAATTGTTGATCTTTAGGATAGACTTAAATTGGGGCAGCTAGCTGGCACAGTGGATAGAGCACCAGCCCTGGATTCAGGAGGATCTGAGTTCAAATCCTGCCTCAAACACATAACACTTACTAGCTGTGTGACCCTGGGCAAGTCACTTAACTCCATTGCCTAAAATAACCAAAAAAAAAAAACACCAAAAAAAACCCAGGATAGACTTAAATTGCTAGGCTAAATTTAAATAATAAACATACTGCTATACTATTATAGCCTCTTCTTTGTCTCAGGTAGTTAGTCATAGGCTTTATGTCAGGTGCCATAGCTCTAGGCCATACTCATCATTTTATTTATTTGTTTTTTAATTTAGTCAGACATATGTACATTTCGTTTTTTAAAAATATGCTGGCTGTATTAATTTCTTGATAAAAGAATTCCAGTTAGATCAGCATATGAAGCTGAAGTATTAGATTATAGAGTTTATTCAGTTTTCAGTTTCCTCTTCCTATTTCTCTTTTGATTGGAAGAAGAAAACCAGGCTTTCCTGATCTTTCAGTTTCCAAGTGATTTCTCAGTTTAGAGTGAATGAGTCTGAATGGAGATAACGTTCTTTCTTTACCTGTAGAAGCTCCTCCTGTTGGTGTGGATTCTCACCTTGGTGGTCCCTGAGTCCAGGTGTTTAGATTTTTTTCCAGTATTCTGGTGTGACTTTTTAAAAAATATTCACCAGCAAACAATTACTTGGATGATTCAATCTTAGTACTGAAACTTATTGCAGTTAATTTATGCCATTATTGTTCATTCACATATCTTCAATTAAAACTAAAAAAGAAGTTTTCTTCTTCTTTTTGTTTTCCAAAAAAAAAAAAGCTTAAAAGAGATTTGAAATGTAAAATAAGTTTTTTCGGGGCAGCTAGGTGGCACAGTGGATAGAGCACTGGCCCTGAAGTCAGGAGGACCGAGTTCAAATCTGGCCTCAGACCAAACACTTGACACTTACTAGATGTGTGACCCCAGGCAAGTCACTTAACCCCAATTGCCTAAAAACACAAAACAAACAAAAAAAGGCAGATAAAAACATCAGTTTTTTCTTCATTTTTACAACCTTTTATTTTTGTGCACCTTGTAAGTTTAATTTCTCCTATTTTAGAGTCTGTCTCCAACACCTATGGATGTTTCTATGAAGGAAGAAGACTTGTGCCAGGCTTTCTCTAATGCACTGTTATGCAAGATAGAGGACATTGATGATGAAGATTGGGAGAATCCTCAGCTTTGCAGTGACTATGTTAAGGATATTTACCAGTATCTGAGACAACTTGAGGTAGAATTGTTTACATGTATAGAATGCTATGATGATTTGGAGGTGTGTATCTATAGCTACACATGATGATGGGCTTATTATTATTTTTAAATTTTGTAGGTTCAGCAATCTATAAACCCACATTTCTTAGATGGAAAAGACATCAATGGGCGTATGCGAGCCATCCTGGTTGATTGGTTGGTACAAGTCCATTCCAAATTTCACCTTCTGCAGGAAACTCTTTATATGTGTATTGCAATCATGGATCGTTTCTTACAGGTAGGTATTATGTTAGAAACTTCACACCAATGGTTTGGTTAATGTCTTTGGGCTGGTTTGCTGTCTTTGAGTTTTCATATTTTCTGTTCATAATTCATAGTGCCTTACACATAGTGGGCACTTAGTAATTATTTGCTAAATTAGAGGGTAAGTTTGGAGTCTCTGTTCTCCTTTCACATTTTTAAAGATGAGGCCTGAAAACTATAGCTTAGAAAGTTTGGAAGCTTCAGTTGCTAAAGTAATAACGCAAACAACTTGAACCTTTTTATTCATCAGAGTGTGTATGTCTCTGATCAATTTGTATGATACTTTGGTAGGGGTAAGAATGTCTTAAATTTCGATTCAGCAACACAGATGAACGATGCTGCCATATTGACCAAACGATCAGTTAATTTAAACACATCATAGTTTTAAATGTAATTCCAAAGCCATGCATTTGCATGCATACATCTTTTAGGAGTTTAGCTTGAAATTTTTCCCCCATGTAGAATGTTCTTTTTTTCCCATAACTTATAAATATGATTTACTCCAGGAGGGAATGGACTGATATGATGGCTGCAATGATGAAAAAGGCCTATTCCTTTCCCCCAGCCACCACCGCTGGCCAGGTGGGTAGGGACACCCACCCCTAGCTTCACTCTCAGTATCCCAGCTTGACTCACCTTGGAGAATGAGAGCGAATCCTCCAGTTCTAAAAAATCCCTTTCCTCATTGTCTTTCCCACATAGGTCTCCTGGATTCCAGAATCCCTTTTGTTAATTTGCAGGGTGTGAGGGAGGATTTTGTCTCTTGTTGTTATATTGTAAACATTGTTTCTTGTAGGTTCAACCAGTCTCTCGGAAGAAGCTTCAGCTGGTCGGAGTTACAGCGCTGCTTTTGGCTTCCAAGTATGAGGAGATATTCTCTCCCAATGTTGAGGACTTTGTTTATATCACAGACAATGCATATACTAGCTCTCAAATTCGAGAAATGGAAATTTTGATTCTGAAAGAATTGAAGTTTGAATTGGGCCGACCACTTCCCCTCCACTTCTTAAGACGAGCGTCAAAAGCTGGTGAGGTGAGGGTCTTCAGCTTACTGCAACTAACAGTTAAGCTTTTGAATTACTGCTATTTTGACTGCTAATTTGGAAGCATTTAAAATGATGGACTTTGCCTTACCTGCATTTCATCTGATAGGAAATTGTGAATTTACTGGGAAATGTCTTTTTAATTTTTAAAAGGCTTATAATATTATTCGAGAAAATAGGGAAACTTCCTTTTCCATTGGTTCTCCAATGTGTTACAAAATGCAAGTTTTCAGTGCCAGGGAAGGGATGGAGTAAGGTGGATTTACATCTGTGTAGTTTTGACTTGGATTATTTATTTATTTATTTTCAAGTCAGACGTGCAATTTCATTAGAGTAGGGAACTCCCAGTGCAGAAACTCTCTCTACTAATGCAAATCAACAGCCGTTTTGTAATATTAATCTTCTAGAGTTGCCTGGGACCATGAGAAGTTAAGAGACTTGCCCAGGGTCACACAGCCTGTATCTTGGGAGAGGTAGGACTTTTTGACTTGGAGGCTGGCTTTCTATCCACTATACCATGTTGTCTTTTTTGACTGATTTTTTCCAAGTTAACAACCCTGACCACATAATGGATGTGATTCTTTCACAGGCAGATGCTGAACAGCATACATTAGCCAAATACTTGATGGAGCTAACAATTGTTGACTATGACATGGTGCATTATCATCCCTCCGAGATAGCTGCTGCTGCTTCTTGCTTGTCTCAAAAGGTTTTAGGTCAAGGAAAATGGGTGAGTGCAGCATTTTGTTAGAAATTTATGATACACTTTAGGCCTGCAGGTTCCCCACCCCTGGTTTAGGGTCTCCCAGTGTGAGGTGGGGGGAAAGGGACAACTGTTCATTTCAAGGTGTGCTCATTTCGGCTTAATTGTTTCAGACTTTGTAACCTGCTCTTGTGGAATACACCTTTGTTGTCGGTCTTCACATTCTCTTTGTGCTTCATTAGGATTTGTTTGAGAAGTCCTTGCTCTTTGGCATTGCTTCAGCATGATTTTCAGAGTTCATACTTACTTCATGGATGAAGGAATGAACTTTGGCTTTGAAGGAGTGATCTTTGGACCTACATGATAAGTTTCATAAGCTGAAGCCAGTCTGCCTGGCTGAATTTAGCTTTTTGGTCTGGTGGTGTCCTCTGTTTACTATGCCTTAAGTAGACTAAAACAAAAATCCCTGGAGGATAACATTGGGTGGGTTGCTTTTGGCAACATTTTATTTCCCATTTCTGAATTTTTTCAGAGAAAATCTTGTACATTAAACAGTAATGAGGCATATAGGACTAGAGACCTCAGCTTTTAGCTGTAGAGGTTGAGAGATACCTGGGCTTCTCAGTCTGGAGTGCAAGGGAACTCCACATAGCTCCACCTTGCCTTTTAATTTTTGCTCCTTATGGTATTCTTCTCAATATCTAAGATGAAAGATTTATTTCTATAAATATAGTTCTATATTATTGTAACTGTGAAAAGAATGAATTCATTTAAAAATATTTAAAAATGTCATTTGGTTTAGTGCCTCAGAATGGAAAGATGGTCCTTATTTATAAACTGAGCTCTGACAGTCTTATTGTAGTAGTCAGGGTTAAGGACCTATTTTTTTTTTTTTAGGCTATTGGGGTTAAGTGACTTGCCTAGGGTCACACAGCTAGTAAGTGTCAAGTGTTTGGTCTGAGGCTGGATTTGAACTCAGGTCCTCCTGATTTCAAGGCTGGTGCTCTATCCACTGCACAACCTAGCTGCCCCTCCTGTGTTTTTTTAATGGTGAGATTATCTGTCTTTATGGTCCTTATAAAATGAGCTATTCTAAGATGTTGGAGTATAACAGATTCCCTTTCCATTGCTCACGTCTTATTCCATTTGCTGTATATTCTAGAGCTTAAAGCAACAGTACTATACTGGTTATTCAGAGAATGATGTATTGGAAGTGATGCAGCAGATGGCCAAAAATATAGTAAAAGTAAATCAAAACTTGACAAAATTTATTGTAAGTATTATTCCTTCATCAACTTTGGGATTTTTGTGTAAATGGCTTACTCAGTAGATATGGAAGGCCATTCCTGCAAAAGGTTTTTACATTTGGGGTGGCATTTTTTCAGGGAAGAAATTCCCTGAGAAAGTTAGCTCTGGGAATATTTGGGACTTATCAGTTAGTTTTATAAGAAGATACTTCATTATTCTAAATGAGAAGACCTAGTTTTGAATCCTGACTTTGCCTCCAATTACCTGTGTGACTTTGGGCACATACATTTACCTCCCTGAGCTTCTGTTTCCTCCAAAATGAGAGGGTTTGACTAGTTCTCTTCTCCAATTGTTACTCTTTTGAATTTATTCTTATACCACTTTAGCACCTTGGGCTTCCAAAAGAAAAGAGCAAAAGGCTATTAGGACTATGTGATGGGTGAGTGACCAGAAATATTTGTGGAAGGCTTTCTAAGTGGCTGTCAGAACTGTGGCCTCCTTAAGGCAGGTCCGTGGATCCATGTACTGTCTGTATGGACACATTGCAGTCCATTTTCCTCATACACAACAGCCCTTTATTTTGGGCTCTGTTGTTCTGTCCTAGTTACCCAAGGAAAAGTGCTACTTGCCCCAAAACTTGATTCACTTTCCTGTATGTGTGATTGATAAGAATATCAGGCACCTCTAGGGCAGGGTGTTGTCCCTTTTGGGGATCCCATTAGTGCTAGGAAGTCATATCCAGGTCTTTGATGATTTTGACCTGATGATCATTAGCTCCTGTTTGTTTTTATTTCTGTTTTTTTTTTGTTTGTTTTTTAGGCAATTGGGGTTAAGTGACTTGCCCAGAGTCACACAGCTAGTGTCAAGTGTTTGGTCTGAGGTCGGATTTGAACTCAGGTCCTCCTGCCTTCAGGGCCGGTGCTCTATCCACTGCGCCACCTAGCTGCCCCCTGTTTTTATTTCTGACTTCTAAAAGTAACTATCCCTTTACACTTATGCCACTGTTTATAGCAAAATGGATGTATACCATCTCTGCTGTCTTGTAGCACAGTCTATAAAATATACTTTTTGGATCCCCAGAGCACTTTATCTCCATTAACTGTATAGTCTTTTTTTCTTTCTATTAACAAATATGGGAGGAAACAATATTTAGTGTTACTGAGGGTGATTGATTGTAAACAGAATAACAGCTGACCCTGTAACTGTAAATAAAGCACCACGAAAATGTCTGTTGTGTTGTCTTCGAACTTCCACATCTCTCCTTCTCTGGAGCTAGTAATCCTATTTGGAGAATGCATGTGGGTCACGTTTTTATGTTTTATCAATTGCTTTTGGAATGGCCAGAACTAACATTGTTTCATTTGGTATCATTCAGGCCATCAAGAATAAGTATGCAAGTAGCAAACTCATGAAGATTAGCACCATTCCTCAGCTAAATTCAAAAACTGTCCAAGACCTTGCATCACCTTTGTTGGGAAGGTCATGAGATGGCTGGACCCAAGTTGGAAGAATCCTCAGTCCACACACTCTTGTATGTCAGCATTCATTTGGCACATCCCACTTTTGTACATATTCTTTTGCTCTGCTTTGTGGAACCTTTTTATTTTGTTTTCTCAATGTATATTGAGGAAAAATAAAACCATAATTTTCCTTAAGGAAACTTGTATATATTTTCCCTCAGAATTTAATGCTCAATTATTATAAACTTGTTTTGATTCGGTATTGTTATACATAGCAATTAAGTACTATGTTTCTTTTACTTAACTGTGTTTGTTATAGCCCTTCCTTTTATTCTCCAAAAAACCTGCTGAATTTCAAAACCTTTTGAATAGAAGGTTTGAATTTTTTTAAAAATTGTATGCGAATAGATTTCTGGCATAGCTAATTGATCAGTTCAAGATGGAATAAGCAGGAGGATTTCTGCTGGACATGCTTAAGTTTAAGTGCTTCTGATTTAACATATAGAAATGGCTGGTGTAAGGGGGTGATTAGAAGGAAAGTGTCCAGGCAGCTTTTTGGGATGAGTTAGGAATGAATGGCCCTAGCTCTTTTATGTTCCTCTTGTGTTGCATAGCTAGCAGACATAGCAGTTAGTGTGCTAGGAGTATTATTCTCTTCTTGCCAAAAGGGAAATGTGTTCCTAGCACATTTCAGATTTGGAACTTAGAATAATGTTTCTCAGTAATATTTGTTAAAAGGCTTTCATATACTAACCACTATTTAAATTATATTTTCTATGGGAACACATTCTGAGCTCCAAATAACTAAATATGAACTTTTGAAATGTACTCTGTAAGTTTGGAACTGTCTGTACTGTGACAATGTGATTGTATGAACACCAGAGTCACAAATATGAATGGGAAAAATCATACTGTGTGCTGAGAATGGATTTCCAATAACTTCAAGAAAGAGTCTCTTTTATTTTAATTGCAAAATTAAGATTCCTGCCTCGTCCTTGAATCAAAAAGGGAAATCTATATGCTTGTGAAGATGGGGGTTATTATAGTTCTGATTCAGGCATGCTCATCAGTGCCGTTTTCTACTTTATGCAGATCAGAATCATTTGAACTTTCAGCCGCAAGTTGAGGGTTCAGCTGAAGTGAATATCATTTGTAAATAATTTTATGGAGATTTAAAAATCTGAAATATCACTCCTGTCTTTTTTAGGTTAGCAAAAACTGTGAGTAGGTAAGAAACTACCATAGCATCCTTCCTGCTGCAAAGTCAAAATGTGTGTGATCATGAAATGTATTTAATCTCAAAGGGTCTTTCCTTTAATCAAAGCAAAATGATTTACCTAGGCATGATACTGTTCTCCATGTTGTACTGATCGATTTTGTGGGCAAACTGTCAAATGGACATATTTTAAAGGTTATTTAATAGCATTATTCATGTAGTATTACTTAGCCTGGCTCAGGATATAGTTTCAGGATGTAGTAATGAAAGGTCCCTTAGTAGTATTTTTCTTGTGAGGCAATGTACCTGAAACATAATCAATGTAAATAAATTATAAACTTACAAACAACCTAGGTCGTTAAAGTATATTTAAATGAAGAGGGGTGTTATAATGAAAAGTACAAACAGAATGGTGATGGTCTGTGTGGAATCTAGGAAAAAGGAGGGTAGGAATCTGTCTCTAACACTGTCCAGGACAGGATCAGACAACTAATCCTGGTTGTTCTAAGACAAATACTCTGAAGATGAAAAGGTTAACTCCCTGGGCTCTCTCATCTTGATGAATATACCTCTTAGAATTATTCAGCTTCCTTCACTCTGACTTTCCAATCACCAAGCAACCTTCTGACCTATAATTTGGTTTCTCTAGTAGACTTGTACCTGTCATCCCTTCTGTAAATCAATAAATTTCTGTTCTGCTTTATATTTGAGTCTTTTGTGAGTTTAATTATTGTGAATCAATTCATCAGAACCTGATCACCCTGGATGAACTGATGAACTCTATTTAGGGTTTGTGCTTGGAAGTCTATTGTACACAGGAAAGGGAAACCCTTCAGGCCTATCCTCAATATAGCCTGCTAACTTCCCTTTATCAACATTGCTACAGAAATCTCTTAACTTTTAAAATTACTCTGCCTCCCCATTTCTTGGTGGTAAAGGAGCGTATTTTATAAATGAGTTCTGGGAGGTAATTGCAGTGCCCCAGGCCCTCTGCCAGCGGAGGACCAGGTTGACCTGCAATCCTTCCTTTCTGGATGTAATTAACAACTGTGGGTTCGAACCCAGAAGGCTGTTCATAAAAACGAACTGCTGTCATTGAAACAGGCCAGGGTAAGCATTGTGCAGGGGTAATGCTTACACGTTAGCCTCCTGGACTGTTTTCCTGCCCCTGAGGGCTTTTCTTGCCTTTTCCCCTCAACGAAGTGGAGTTGTTACACACTTCATGCCCTCTCATCCTTTCCTCTCACAAGGAGGGTAAAAAATCTAATGTATTTGATTTTTATTTTCTTTTAGTGTTGTTTGTGGCCTTCAGAGGTTGTGACTTCTCCAGTGTCACAGGGCAGGAATTAACCTGTTTTGCTAGTTTTGAGATTAACCCTATATCTATCACGCCATATCGCCTCCATAAAGTTCTTTTTTATAATATGTTTGTTATTAACATGAATTTAAAGAAGGGTCAAACTATCCCATGAAATAAAAGGAAATGTCTATTGTAACACAGTAAATATTCTATCCCTATTCCCCTTTCGGTGTGTGTGTATGTGTGTGATTTTTTTTAAAGGGGTTCCATTATATTCTAGATTTAATTTGTGGCAACCCATTTAGTGGATTTTTTTTTTTTTGGTGGGGAAGGTGCCTCAAGTCTTGAGTGACTTATCCAAGCCATTGAGGAGGAGGGAAGTGTAGGTGAACTCTGAGCTGTAATGGTGCTATAGGTACAATGTAATCATTAATGAGCACAATTTAATTAGAAGAAATTCAGAAATACAGGTGGCAAGCACCTGGTTTTACCTCTTACCTCTGTTTCCTACCTTATTTTGTTTTTTAAACAAAACAAGACAAAACAAGTTATAGCTGTTAGAGATTTCCAAATACAACTTAGTTCTCCATTTACAGCTGGCCCTAATTAGAGATGGCTACCATCTTTCAGAACATTCCAAAGTTTGAAAGCATTATTCATGGCCTATGGGATCAGTATTGGATAACTTCTAGGACCGGAGCTCCTCCAGCACTGTCTCAACTATTCATCTTGTTGTCATGCTCTCATTTGTGTAGCTTTTATTTCCCTAACAAGATTTTTATTTTTGGTTTCTTTAAGTCAGGGCTTTTTTTTGTGGGCTATACCTTTGGCTGCCTAACACTTGGGGGGGGGTCATCTAATAAATAATATTCAGTAAACAATCATTAGGAGAAAGAAAACCAGAGCTTTTTCTGAAGACTCTTTAAAAAAAATCAGAAAAGAAGTGCTCCACCTAGTTTTTCTATACCTACTATACTCACCCCTACTCTTGGGGTGTTTAACCCTCTAAATATGTCAAAATAGGATATGGAAATATGTTTTGCATGACTACCCATATATAAACTATATCAAATTTCTTGCCCTCTGAATGCAGGGGAGGGGAGAGAATTTGGAACTCAAAAAATTTTAAAAAGAATGCTAAGAATTGTACATGTAATTGGGGAAAAATAAAATGGTGAATAATTTTTTTAAAAAAAATAAATGTCAAAGTTGTTATAAATTATATCTTATACAGCTTCTCTCCTGGCTTTGAGGCCTTATTGCTATCTGCTACACTACTGCCCACCTATGGCTTTAAAATTAACCCAAATTTTACATTGTTATCCTAAATCTTGCCTGTTTTCCCACTTTATCTACCTGTACACATTTATTTATTCACTCAACCAATGTATAATGAGTACCTATTTACAAAGCGCTATGTAAAAAACACACAAATGCACAAGATGTTGTCCCTATCCTCAAAGAGCTCACAATGTACATACTGCATTTGGTGGATAACTAGCTAAATGACTGGGTTCTTATTCATCTAGTACACCAATTTATGCACATAGTGATATTAATGATTTCCCAGACTGTGAGTTCATGTAGAATAGAAAAAAATTGGGAAAGAACTCAGTTACTTGACAGTGTAGAGGTCTGTGATCAGTGACTGAGTTGATAAGAAAGAAAAAATGAGTAGGTTCCATAAAAAAGAGAATTCTTTTCAGGTCTAAAAACCATAATTCTAATGCCCCTAACTTAAAAATTCCCAGGGAAAAACAGAATATGAGAAACCTCAAAAGTCAATTAATTAAAACTTCTAGGTTTCAGAAAGTATTTCTTTAAATTTTAGACTGTGCAGAATTTATAAGCTCTAGCTTGTCAACCATTAGCCTTCTGTAGATATTTCATTTATTGAACATAAATCAAAGAATAGCTCTGCCCTGTGGGGAGGCAAAGGGACTGGACATCAAAGTTCTAGTTCTGATTTGGTCTTGTAATAAGCTGTGACTTGAGTGCAGACATTTGGCTGTTTTCTGTCTCATCCTTTTTTTTTTTTGGTCATATAAGAATACCTATCTCATGGGGCGTTGAGGACTAAGTGTTGTTCACTTGTGTGAGGAAGTGATACATGCTGAGAAAGAGGTGCCATGGCTATCACTAGGGAGAGTGAAGCCCGATAGCAAGGAAGGAAGGTAGTTCAGAGCCAGGCCCGAGAGGGGAAATAGTCAAGAAAAGGAGCCAAAGCAGGATCAAGAAGGAAGAAAAAGGAAAGGAGGCAGAAAGGAGGTTTATCTGTTTTTGCTTCTGGAAGATCCAGAGGAGGAGAGGACAGAAGGATGAGTGTGTGAAACTTTGGGGAGGGGAGGACTTTTGTGACTCCAGAGGGGATCAGAGTAGCTGCTTGGCAAGAGATTTTGTGATGGGAGGTGCCATGCGGATTTTGGGATGAAAGGTGCCATGTATCTTGCAACCTCAACTGATTGGAATATGGCTAAGAATCTGGAAGTAGGCCAAAAAAACCCCTCTCTTGGTTATTGGAAAATAACCCAAGTACTTGATTGTCATAAGGAACATGACTAAATATCATGTATGTTACCCAGGAGATATCTTCAAACTTGGTGGTTTTGTTTCTGGCAGCTGCTAGAACCCAGGCAGAAACACTGATTACAGAAAGGAGCAGAGGCTAACAGTCCCTGAAGAAAATGAACAGTAGTTGACCTTGGCCTGCTATGTAGAAACTCCCAGCATCCTGTCTGCCCTTCGTCTCTTTTATCTTCCTAACCAATGCTTTTTAGATCTATGAAAATCTAGGACTTTTTCAGCTAGGGATCTCCCCAAGTATAGAAGACTGGGAATTGCTGGTCCATGGGCTATATCTGGCCCTCAGTTTAATTTCATCTCAAGTTTTCTAAAATAAAGCCTTCTAAAATAATACCACCCTGGCTTTCCAATTTCAATACTACTGTAGCCATAACAAAGGATTAATGTTCTATCTCTCAGCATGGTGTAGGGGATTGAGTGATGGATTTGGGATTAAGAGAGTCTGGGTTCAAATTCAGCTTCTGACATTGAGTGGCCATACCAAGTCACTCAACCTCTATGAGCCTCAGTTTCCTCATCTGTAAAATAGGAATAATAGTGTACACAGTGTTTTGAAGCACACAGGAGATCATGTAAGTAAAGTGATTTGTAAACTTTAAAAGACTCATGTAAACATCAGTTATTATTATGCACCTGTGTCCTCCCCACTTAAGTTCTCTATTCTGAGATAATACCCTTTCTTTCCCTCTCTTCTCCAAACTCCCAAGAGAAAGAGTAGATGGTAAGAAGCAGTTTGCCCAAAGGTTAAGGACTAGTGGTAGAGGTAGCTCATGATTGTTGGGTCCAGGGTCAGGCTGGGCAGGGGAGTGGGCTAAGTGTGTTGGGGGTGGCAATCTTGGGTAAAAAGGGCTGGACCTTGATTGGGTGGGAGATAGTCCCTGGTAGAGGCAGGGGATCAGAAAGGGGGTTGATTTTGACCTTTGAGCAGAGGAAGACGTGGGGTATTGTGGGAAGAAGAGACTGGGTGGGAGAATATCTATCCCCTCTGACTCCCCTTCCCCCCCCTCCGCCCCCCAGGTTTCCAAGGGTCCAAGGCTTTTTCTCTAGCTTCCTCTATTTCTGGGCCTCACTCCACCCCCCTCCACACCCCATACCCCACCCTTTTCTTATTATCCCTTTCCCTCTATCTCCTGTTTATTTCTTTAACTGCTCATAATATGGAACTAAAGAGCTTTTAAAAAGTGTATTTATTGAATCAGGTTTTATGTTTCCAGTTCTCGATACTTATGCTTTATACTAGTTTGTGGTCCTCATATTTTATTTTCTCTGCCAGAAAACAGGTCACAGCCTCATGCTGTACAGTATCCATGCCTTGGTTTTGCAACTGTCAAAGAAGAGATTTGCTAGTTGGGGAGGGAAGGAGGAATCACAGAAATATGAATCTGTGAATGAACAAGGCAGCTCACCGATTCTTCTGTTTATTTGGGAGAATTGGGGAGTGGAGTGGAGTGGAGCAGGAGATGAAGATGATTACCAAGAAGCAATAGCCATCTAAAATGGGGATGGAGAAGGGCGTGGGCTAGAGCAGTAACACTGATCCCATAATTAAAAAGGAATAGTGCACACATTTGTAAGTACCTGGTGCAAGTCTTATAATAAAACTACCTTACGACTAAGTACAGTGGGATACTACATTATACATTCATACATGTTTCTACCATTTTAGGATTTTGTATATACAGTATATGATCTGCTTTTATAAATGTACAGCTTGAGGAAGAGAGATCCTTCTTGTAATAGGTACAGCATTACACATAAAACCAACATGGGCCAGCCACATTCCAATTTAAGACGCAAAGAAGGCAACATGGATAACCCAC